TTGCTTGCGCACATCTAGGCGCACGATGGACGGACGTTGTGCGATTTACGTATTGGTTGGTGTAAGTTGAGGAATGTCTTAACAATTTATACGGTTTCATGTTTAAACATATAAACTTGATGTTTACGTATGTTTCTATATTCTAGCAACATCTATAAACTTATCTTTCTGTCTATACATTCTTATATTTAGAAATTGTGTTTTCTGTGTTTTTAAACAAACTTAATCGACACATGTAAAATTACAACACAATCCCGTATACAGGTAAACATAACCACTTTGTACATGTATCTGGACCGTAGTTTTCTCACCGCCTGGGGCACTTAAGTAATTCGTCGGGTAAGGCCGGGTGTGTGAAAATCCAGCTGAAGGGGAGCTATAGGCAAACGAATGCAAATAACAAATACTATTCATTACGGTCAAACCGGTATCGCATATCAGCTCTGTGTCAGGCAAAACTTCGGACACTCATCAAATTTTAATTTACCTGTTCTGTTACCTTGGAGCCAAACCCATTCTTGACAGCCTAACGGTCGCTCTAATACGGTGTAACACGCATTGTGAAATTGTATAATCTTGATTATTGTGATGAGAAATTACAGATATATGTGCGGAGGGTGTGCGCACGCTATTTTTGGTGCATTGTGCAGTCCCACAACTGTAGCTTAAGTCCAGCCATAAAGCATGTCTGTTTTTTCTAACACTGCTATTATGATATTTTTTTATTGTTTCTCACAATTGTGAGAAGTGTGCTATATGCCACAACTATCTTTACCCACAATCATTGAAGACACGTTTGATTAATATCTACTGAGGTCGTAAGTACAATTATCTGGGATTTCCTTGTCTTATTTATAAATCATTTTTTTTGTATTTTTTTGTTTTTCTCCAGGTGGTCCGCTTGAATAAACCTATACTGGATTAAATGTTTAGATATCAGACCAAGATATTGATTAAATGTTTAGATATCAGACCAAGATATTGATTAGCTGTCATTTCAACTCAGCTGGAGCAGATGACTTCAACTTTAAGGAAGTTTTTCAACCTTTGACCTCTAATCATAAAGATGACAATCAAAGGTCATTATGTGATATACAACACATCAACTAGTAGTGACAATACACAAATTGGACAAAGAGGGAAAACTTTTCACTGGTAGGGAATGAACAAATTTGTTTTTCAGCTTTTTCAACTAGACTATCTTACTTTGTGTAAAGCAGAATCAAATACAACAAACTCAAGTGTAAAATTAATGATCTGACTTTATTGCATTGCCAAGTGCATGATGATGACTTGCTCCTCACCACACAAGAGAGAACACCTACAATAAACACTAATACTGCTACATACAGGACTGTACACAGACAGGCCACGCCCACCTCACAGACTACACCCATCTCATGGGCCACACCCACCATATAGGCCACGCCCATTTTACAGACTACACCCATCTCACAGACCAAACTCATCTCACAGGTGTGGTCCATCAGACAGGCCATATCCATCTCACAGGTGTGGTCCATCAAACAGACCACACCCATATCACAGGTGTGATCGTTCAGATAGCTAGGCCACACCCATCTCACAGGTGTGATCATACAGACAGGCCACACCTATCTCACAGGTGTGTCAATCAAACAGACCACACCCATATCACAGGTGTAATCGTTCAGATAGGCCACACCCATCTCACAGGTGTGATCATACAGACAGGCCACACCCATCTCACAGGTGTGTCAATCAAACAGGCAATACCCATATCACAGGTGTGATCATTCAGACAGGCCACACCCACATAATAGAACTGATCAATCAAACAGGCCACACCCATCTGACAGATAGGCTACACCTATATGACGCCCATCAGATAGGCCACACCCATATGACGCCCATCAGATAGGCCACACCTTTATGACGCCCACTTGATAGACCAAGCCCATCTGGGGTGACAACAATCACAGATAGAACAATGCCCACAGTCTCCAGAACAATACACATAAAATATAGAGAAACCTCTGAGATCAGAACCCTATAGAAGCCACCCTTCTCTTCCTCAAATTTGCAACAGTGGACTATTCTTAAATATAAGTAAGTTTCCAGGGATGTAGATTGATAATACTTGTAGCAATAATCAACCTATCCATGATCATTCATTTCAACACTTCGAATCGGGAATAGATCTGCACCAAATACAACCCTTTATTGTATCTAATCTATAGTGTACCGATCAGGAATATTACACGGAAACACACTGTGATGGAACGATTCACTAAACTCACCAACAACCGTCTCCTACAACCCATATTGGAGCTGTATAAATAGAAATAACTGGAGTTTAGTCAAAACTTACAACAAAGTATTAAAACAGACTGCAGATGTTTAAATGGCACCTTGAAATTACTTTTGGTCCACTGTAGACATTTCATTTACTTCTAACATTAGACCCGTAATAGGATAAGTAAACTGACATCAGCCTTCCAGACAGTGAGATACGCTGTAAAGGAGGCCCAACTCACAAACTCCAGTCTCCTAGACAGATCTGTTGGGGAGATTCCACTTATGACGTAAACTTGATTCCAGTCTCCTAGACAGATCTGTTGGGGAGATTCCACTTATGAAGTAAACTTGATTCCAGTCTCCTAGCAAAGAGAAACGCTGTCAGGCAGGCCGCCTCACAAAGTCTTAACAAGCTATACAAAGACTATGTTTATAATAAGGGCCCCGACACTGGATACATCACACTACAAAGCCTTTGGTTATGCTTGTGGCCCAGCAAGCTGCATTATGTACACTGTTAACTTTTATTATTTACCTGGTATATATATATATGGCAAATAAATACTTCAGCTTTGGGTAAAACTGTACAGAGAAATATTGTTAGATTTTATAAATGAGTGGAATAATATGGCATACACTGTCACAGAAATGATTCACCCGTCTCCAGACATAGCGGGTACAATACATTATCATACACCAGTCTCCAGACATAGCGGGTACAATCCATTATCATACACCAGTCTCCAGACATAGCGGGTATAATACATTATCATACACCCGTCTCCAGACATAGCGGGTACAATACATTATCATACACCAGTCTCCAGACATAGCGGGTACAATACATTATCATACACCAGTCTCCAGACATAGCGGGTACAATACATTATCATACACCAGTCTCCAGACATAGCGGGTACAATACATTATCATACACCAGTCTCCAGACATAGCGGGTACAATACATTATCATACACCAGTCTCCAGACATAGCGGGTACAATACATTATCATACACCAGTCTCCAGACATAGCGGGTACAATACATTATCATACACCAGTCTCCAGACATAGCGGGTACAATACATTATCATACACCAGTCTCCAGACATAGTGGGTACAATACATTATCATACAACAGTCTCCAGACATAGCGGGTACAATACATTATCATACACCAGTCTCCAGACATAGCGGGTACAATACATTATCATACACCAGTCTCCAGACATAGCGGGTACAATACATTATCATACACCAGTCTCCAGACATAGCGGGTACAATACATTATCATACACCAGTCTCCAGACATAGCGGGTACAATACATTATCATACACCAGTCTCCAGACATAGCGGGTACAATACATTATCATACACCAGTCTCCAGACATAGCGGGTACAATACATTATCATACACCAGTCTCCAGACATAGCGGGTACAATACATTATCATACACCAGTCTCCAGACATAGCGGGTACAATACATTATCATACACCAGTCTCCAGACATAGCGGGTACAATACATTATCATACACCAGTCTCCAGACATAGCGGGTACAATACATTATCATACACCAGTCTCCAGACATAGCGGGTACAATACATTATCATACACCAGTCTCCAGACATAGCGGGTACAATACATTATCATACACCAGTCTCCAGACATAGCGGGTACAATACATTATCATACACCAGTCTCCAGACATAGCAGGTACATTATCATACACCCGTCTCCAGACATAGCGGGTACGATACATTATCATACACCAGTCTCCAGACATAGCGGGTACAATACATTATCATACACCAGTCTCCAGACATAGCAGGTACATTATCATACACCCGTCTCCAGACATAGCGGGTACAATACATTATCATACACCAGTCTCCAGACATAGCGGGTACAATACATACAATATTGTGTCACGTTAGAAAAACAGGATTTCTTTGTTACAAATGTTGACATAAACAAAAGGATTGCACTCTTCCCTCTGTTACCATTGATTGGAGTATAAACTCAACCAAAGCCTATATTTCCTCCAGACCCGTCACAATATACATGTGCTCATTTCAATGATTTCCATTGGTGGCCAGCCACGGCCATGATTTCCATTGGTGGCCAGTCGCGGCCATGATTTCCATTGGTGGCCAGTCGCGGCCATGATTTCAATTGGTGGCCAGTCGCGGCCATGATTTCCATTGGTGGCCAGGCCATCATTTACACCATGATGTGTGGTTTGTCTCTAGGTCAGCTGTTTATAGTACTGTACATATATTTACAAAGTCACACAGAACAGAACCTCTGTTAATGTAAATGTCATTCACATAGTGTTCGTGTAATAGAAAAAATTCTTACAAAAACATACCATCATATAACAAATGACTAGATTTTACAGGAACCAATGACACTGTACGGCATTTACAGGAAATGATAACACGTACAGCAATTATAGGAAATGATACCAGCATACAGCATTTACAGGAAATGATAACATGTACAGCAATTATAGGAAATGATAACACGTACAGCAATTATAGGAAATGATACCACCATACAGCATTTACAGGAAATGATACCACCATACAGCATTTACAGGAAATGATACCACCATACAGCATTTACAGGAAATGATACCACCATACAGCATTTACAGGAAATGATACCACCATACAGCATTTACAGGAAATGATACCACCATACAGCATTTACAGGAAATGATACCACCATACAGCATTTACAGGAAATGATACCACCATACAGCATTTACAGGAAACAAAAACATTTTACTGAGATTACAGTAACAGATTAACAAATGTTTTCACTACAAAAAGATAACAAAACATTGTTTCACTTTCATTCTTAATCCCTATCTAATCAAAGACCATTAAAGCTTGTACATGGTTCATACAAACTTTTGACCACAAAATTTAAGGACTTTTCAAGGGTTTTTCAAAACAAATTTTGAAAATTCAAGGGCTCATTTATATTGCAAAATAACAAACAATTTTAATGAACAACAAGGCCTCGAGGGGCTAGGATTGAAGGAAAGTCATCGGTGTTCGGATTTGGATTAGGAACAGTCGAGGTAGGTCTCGATGTACTTGTCGTTGAAGTAGAGGGTTTGGTATAAAAGTGTCCAAGGCTGAGTCGAAGCGGTCCCCGAAAATGTTTCACGTGTTTATGACTTTTCATGTGATGTAAGGGCGTATTCCTTAATCTTGCCCAGATCGATAATTTTGTTACACAGCGAGCTCATAGCAGAAGTCCTATCACCCTTGAACTCCCTTACCGAAAAAAATCTTGGATCGTCTAGCCATTTGCGGTTAAAAACACACTTCCCCATCGCAGTTGTTGCGTTCGTGTTCCCCTCCTGTTAACAATATTCTTAATGCGCATGACCGTATGTCACTGTGGCGCTTACACTACGATACTTCCTCAATTCAAACGCAGTGACGATATGAATTGAAAAAGTAAAACCGGAAACTTCATCGGTATATATTTTCCGGAATTATTAAAAATTACGATCTGCAATTTGACGATCAATTTGTGTTAAAGATAATAATTGTTTGCGACGAATGATTACAAAATACGGAATTAACATGACAGAAACGGATACCCAACTAACTTCTTTGATTTTCAAGGGTTTTTCAAGGACTCCCATTGATTTTCAAGGGTTTTTCAAGGCTTACAGTCATTTTCAAGGGTTTTTCAAGACAGACATCAAATTCAAGGGTTTTTCAAGACCTGTGCGAACCATGTTGTATAGGATAGGATCCTTGTTAATAAGCCCTAGCATGTTGAACATTTGATATCTTCATTGTCCGAAGATCCTAATGATTTTAATATGCTACTAAAACTAACAAGTGAAATTAACATACAGACTAGGTTGACCTCTGACCTATCAGTAGGGTTTTACATTAAATCAGTTGATCATGCAAAACGAATTTGAATTAATCAATTAAAAGTTTAAAAAGATACATCAAAAGATAGATGACCTCCATTCACAAGCTTTCTCTAGGCGTAACGAGAGGACACGGAAAAGGATGGTACTTATGGTTATCAATTGTGGCATCTTTTTCACACAGTTACACTTACACCCTATATTATAGTACAGAAGCTTTAACAAAGGTTGTAAATGTTGGAAACTTCAATAGATATATTTGCATGTATTGATATGAGAGGAAATTTTAAGATCTTTTTAGATTTACCTGAACTCCTACATAATAATTATAGTGCGGTCAGATCTTTAAGTACTAAAATATTGAAATAAAATGTATCTACCTAAGTACACTGACCGATTAAACGGGCCCCGCAGGTTGTTATATATTAACGCCAGCTCATCCTTACATAGAAACATGAACAGAACAGGAGGCCCAATGGGCCTGTGTTGCTCACCTGTTATTCTATGCTGTTGACAAACACATTTCCCTCTTGTTTCCTTCAAAGTGAGTCAAAATCAACTTTATTTAAACAAACTAGATTGCAAGCAAACTCACACTATATAAGTGTAACAGGAGAGGAAAAATGCACAGCACGACCAGGATTTGAATCCAGGACCCTCCTAAATCTTGATGTACCATATGCTCTAACCAATCGAGCTACCTCGTTGCCAGCAATCGACCCAGTCCAGTTCAGGTACCAACCTTCCTCCTTTGCCCCTGAAGACAACACTATGAACAAGGTTCAGGTATCCACTTCTCAAATGTACATTCAATGCTTGAAACAAGGGATGGCCACAGGCACTACTATAACAGGGAAAAAAGCACCGCCAGACTAATTCCAACCTGGGACCCTCTCAACTCCATAGACCGACGCTCTCAGCTCTATAGAACGACCCTCTCAACTCCATAGACCGACGCTCTAACCAATTGAGCTACCTGGTTGTATGGAGTAACAGATACTCTCAACTCCATAGACCGACGCTTTCAGCTCTATAGACCGACGCTCTAACCCATTGAGCAACCTGGTTGTATGGAGTAACAGATACTCTCAACTCTATAGACCGATGCTCTAACCCATTGAGCTACCTGGTTGTATGGAGTAACAGATACTCTCAACTCTATGGACCGACCCTCTCAACTCCATAGACTGACGCTCTAACCCATTGAGCTACCTGGTTGTATGGAGTAACAGATACTCTGAACTCTATAGACTGACGCTCTAACCCATTGAGCTACCTGGTTGTATGGAGTAACAGATACTCTGAACCCTATAGACTGACGCTCTAACCCATTGAGCTACCTGGTTGTATGGAGTAACAGATACTCTGAACCCTATAGACTGACGCTCTAACCCATTGAGCTACCTGGTTGTATGGAGTAACAGATACTCTGAACCCTATAGACTGACGCTCTAACCCATTGAGCTACCTGGTTGTATGGAGTAACAGATACTCTGAACCCTATAGACTGACGCTCTAACCCATTGAGCTACCTGGTTGTATGGAGTAACAGATACTCTGAACCCTATAGACTGACGCTCTAACCCATTGAGCTACCTGGTTGTATGGAGTAACAGATACTCTGAACCCTATAGACTGACGCTCTAACCCATTGAGCTACCTGGTTGTATGGAGTAACAGATACTCTGAACCCTATAGACTGACGCTCTAACCCATTGAGCTACCTGGTTGTATGGAGTAACAGATACTCTGAACCCTATAGACTGACGCTCTAACCCATTGAGCTACCTGGTTGTATGGAGTAACAGATACTCTGAACCCTATAGACTGACGCTCTAACCCATTGAGCTACCTGGTTGTATGGAGTAACAGATACTCTGAACCCTATAGACTGACGCTCTAACCCATTGAGCTACCTGGTTGTATGGAGTAACAGATACTCTGAACCCTATAGACTGACGCTCTAACCCATTGAGCTACCTGGTTGTATGGAGTAACAGATACTCCCAAATCTATAGACCGATGCTCTAACCCATTTAGCTACCTGGTTGTATGGAGAAACAGATACTCTGAACCCTATAGACTGACGCTCTAACCCATTGAGCTGCCTGGTTGTATGGAGTAACAGATACTCTGAACCCTATAGACTGCCGCTCTAACCCATTGAGCTACCTGGTTGTATGGAGTAACAGATACTCTGAACCCTAAAGACTGACGCTCTAACCCATTGAGCTACCTGGTTCCTAGCGATCAACCCAGTGCATTTCCACTACACGAGCTAAATTTCACAACTCTACACCTTATGTATCTTTGTCGGAAGATTTGAACTTATATCACTCATGTTATCCTGAAGCTAAAACAAGGTTAATATTCATTTAAACAAACTTGATCGTCCTCCACCTCAGCATGCTACTGGCCAAATATCAGGATGATAAACCTCCTGGTTATACAGACGATTTTTAAAGGAAAACACTAGACACTAGACCGACAGGTGGCAGTCAACAGGACCATGTGGAAGATTAGCCTTTGGCTAAACATGTATGTTTTCCTCAATATGTAAAGTTTATTATTATTATCATTATTAGTCTACAGATGCCATACATAGCATAAGCTCAGGCAGCTGAGTGATTAATGTGAATTCTGAGACAGTGTAACGAAAAGTTCTACTGCCATATTAAACTAGGGTAATTCTTCTGGAAATGGGCTCCATTTGGGTACTGGCACATAATTCTACCGTAAACACAAATATCCATATTATCCACAAGTGTCCATCTTTTTCACAAGTATCCAGCTATGTGTTTTTTTATATTAAAATTCAGAACCTATAATCTATTTCTAACATGTGACCTTAGAGTATGCTTTACATTGTTTAGAATGAATCATACAAACATACCTGGTATTACAAAAGTAATCAATACCCCCATCAATATACATAAGTGACGCACCAGCAGGCCCCCATCCAACCCAGGGAGGGTTTATATACTCCTAGATTGCCCATCAAACAAGCATGTATGAACCAGGGGTGGGTTATTATAGTCCTCGATCAATATCATACTGGGTAATATGAACCAAATGTGTAGGGTTATCATACTCCTATGTAAACATATCATAACAACAGACAAAATACAAACATCTCAGTCATTATCAGACACACATAAAACAAAAAAATTGGATTGAGGTTCAAATAATATCTCACACTTACAAGATACAAACATAAATAAAACTGGCTATAGCAACAGAAATAATGCTCACTACTGCAACAAGACAACAAACAGCTCCAGGCCACATGCTTTGTGATTACAAGTACATGTATAAATAATCCTATGTAAAATAGGAAGGCTTTTAATTGGCACACAAATGAGGAAATTTACTGACACTATATATGTACATCTGGTACAGACACAACAACAGGCTTCACACATACAATCCACACATACCCTGTCACACCAGTCATACCTTACATCCACACATGACACATACAATCCACACATGACACATACAATCCACACATACCGTCACACCACAGCTATACCTTAAGCTTGTATCCACACATATCACATACAATCCACACTAACCCCTTCACACCAGACAGAACAGCCACAAAACACCTGACATCAAAGATAATGATGATAAAACAATTACACGGACCGACTGAAATCCTGCTGGTGATGCTAGACCTGTAAAACCTCAATAATAACAATCAACACGAATACTTGATAGTACCATCAATAACAAAACAGGTGAATCATCGGGGGAAAAACAACAACTTATTTTCAAAATAATATACGCAAATATATAAAGAGCCATCTGTGATAAAGCAAGATATGTGTTCCCTTTTGATGGATTAAAACAATTGCATTGAGACATACAGAACATCCAACACTGGGTAAAACGCTCCTGTGATTTAGCTATTCAGATCTTGTGACTACACCCAGACAAGTACACACAATAATAGCATTGGCAGGCTACCACTAATCTGGTATAAAATTCTCCTTTGTGCATTTAGAATACATTATTATCTTTTCAGTTCAAAAACAATTATTTATGTAGCTAAAGTTAAGAAGAAAAAATTGTAAATATTACAAAAAAGGAATAAGAAATACAACATGATTATTTCACATCAATGTTGGTATAAAAGTTCTAGACGGTTTAACACCATCACATGACCAGACACTCAATAGTTCATCAGGTCTCTCAAAGTCGGCAATATAAATGTGTCAAGTGGGAATTTAAAATTCAAACACGTGATAAATTCACTAGCTACAATATCAATGACTTAGTCATGTCACAATATAAATTAATATACAACTCCATATCAACATACTGTAGAACTTGGGCGTCGCCGTGACGTCACTTTCATTCCCATCATGGCTGCCCGAACACTTAACGTCAAGGTGGAACCAAGACACAATTTTGTGGGAACAGTCGGGCCACCTGGCATCTGGAACATTGCTGTGCGGACAGCCGATATCCCATCATCTGTTGGTTCGATGGCCATGGCCACGACATCAAATGGATGTTCCTCCTTAGCCATGGGTTGGAAAGGAAGTTGTAGAGTCTCTACAGGGGTCAGGGCCATCCCTGATGTGTTACGGTTAGATAACTTCATATACTTTGTTCGCCTTGGTAATGGTGTTGACACAAAAGGCATGGGTTCAGGTTCTATAAGAATAAGAACACGAGCGAAGGGCCGCGATGCCATATGCATCATCTCTTTTGCACGCTCACGTCTGCTCCTTTGAGCATCAACAGCCTGCTTAAGTTTCCATAGCAAAACACACATGGCAAGAAATAGGAAGAAACTGGAGAAAAATACAGAGAAAAACACAAACAGATCTATATGTGTCTGATCTTGTCTAAAGTAAAGATTTCCGTAAGTTTCGTTAGATGTCTGACCGCCACGTCCGTACATAACCACATAAAACTTGGAAGTCTTTAGTCCTAGCTCGAGAGGCAGTGTAATGACCACACGAGACTGGACGTTCTGGATGATTAGGATTGTATGGGTCATCTTGACAGTGTGGTAGGTGTGGAAGTCGTTGGCCTTTAGCTCTATCAGCTCATGCCACTTGTGTGAGGAACTGTTCTGTACACTGCGTCTGTGCCGACCACCGTGCTGCATGTCATGGGGGTGAGGAAAGGTCAGGTCAGAGGCCAGGGAGGGGTCAAGCTTGATGCTGTGGAAACCATTGACCTTGCTCACATCCACAATAAATGTCTGGTCACTTGACGAAAAGTAGATGTCCACACCTACAGGAAAGAGGAAGACAATATTAATATATGATTGACTTATCAACTAAGCCACACTAATAACCTGCCCCCTGCCCCCTGCCCCCCGCCCCCGCTGGACTGTCCAAGATTTTAATGTCTCAGCAGCCATCTTCAATCCTGAAATCTGAAAGTCTGCTTTTCAGCATCAATAAAATCTTCTGTGCATCACTTCCATAAAAGTATCACCAAAGTTGACACACTTAAATCAAGTTATAATGATATATTTCCTAATCAGAACACATATCTACTAACTTTTTCATCCATCTTCAGAAGTTTAGAAGCTAGTTTTGAGGTTTAAATTTAGACTCTTTCTGTGACCTTAAGTACAGACTTGTCCTGAAAATGTAAAACAATTACGGGAGTGGGTTTTGATTGTTTCCAAGGAATGACTGAATCTTCACCATTAGCCACCCTCTCTGCTCAGGGGGTGCAATAACTTAATATATGTAAAAAAATACTGCCCTGAGTGCCCAGTGATGTTTCAGAACAAGAGGCCCAATGGGCCTGCATCGCTCACCTGGTATAAAACTCACACTTGTAACCTTAAAAGTGATCTAAAATACAGCTACAGGCAAAATATCAGTATTTATGATTAAAGTTCATTCAAAAGACCCTCTTAATTTTTTTTTAAACATTTCACCCCTGTGATTGAAAGTCGAACAAAGTCATTATGTTGAACACATTGTATAGCCTTTCATTTCAGGATGCAACTTGCAAAGTATAAACATCCTGGGACCCATGGTTATTCATAAGAGGTTGTTTAAAGATTTTAAACAAATTTGACCCCTGTGACCTTGAATATAAGTCCAAAGTCATTCATTCACTTTAACAAACATAGTAGTCCTCGATCCCAGCATATGCTACTGACTAAATATCAACATCCTGAGCCTTTTGGTTATTCAGAACAAGTTGTTGAAATATTTTGAACATATTTGCTCCTTGTGACCTTGAATATAATTCAAGGTCATACATTTGAACAAACTTTGTAGCCCTTGATCCTAGTATGCTACTGACTAAATATCATCACCCTGGGCATTTTGGTTATTCAGAAGAAGTTGTTTAAAGTTTTTAACATATTTGACCCCTGTGACCTTGAATATGGGTGAAGGTCACGCATTTGAACAATCTTGATAGCCCTCTACTCCAGCATGCTACTGGCCAAATATCATTACCCTGGGCATTTTGGTTATTGAGAAGAAGTTGTTTCAAGTTTTTAACATATTTGACCCCTGTGACCTTGAATATGGGTGAAGGTGATTCATTTGAACAAACTTTGTAGCCCTTCAACTCAGCTTGCTACTGGCTAAATATCATCACCCAGGGCATTTTGGTTATTGAGGAGAAGTTGTTTAAAGTTTTTAACATATTTGACCCCTGTGACCTTGAAAATAGGTGAAGGTCATTCATTTTAACAAACTTTGTAGCCCTTCATCCAAGTTTGCTTCTGACCAAATATCGACAACCTAGGCCTTTCGGTTATTAAGTCGTTTAAAGTAAAATATTGACGCCGGACGGAGGACAGACAGACGACAGACAGACACTGGACGCCGCGCCACAGCATAAGCTCACTTGGCACGAAGTGCCAAGTGAGCTAAAAATGACTTCATTCCATACAGCAGTTTGGGAGGAGTATGCTTTTAAATCAAAACCACATGTACAAATTCCCAGCCCGGGGAGGGATACCACTCTACTTGTCTAATCTCAGTGATCATTCAAAACAAATATGGAAATATGGTGATTAACCAAGGATAAGCTAGAAAATATAAAATGTAAGGATTCTGACATGTTAAGTGACAGAGTGGCCAGCTGGATGTAAGGTTTTAGGTAGTGACAGAGTGGCCAGCTGGATGTAAGGTTTAAGGTAGTGACAAGAGGGGCCAGCTGGATGTAAGGTTTTAGGTAGTGACAGAGTGGCCAGCAGAATGTAAGGTTTTAGGTAGTGACAAAGTGGCCAGCTGGATGTAAGGTTTTAGGTAGTGACAAGAGGGGCCAGCTGGATGTAAGGTTTAAGGTAGTGACAGAGTGGCTAGCTGGATGTAAGGTTTTAGGTAGTGACAAGAGGTGCCAGCTGGATGTAAGGTTTAAGGTAGTGACAGAGTGGCTAGCTGGATGTAAGGTTTTAGGTAGTGACAGAGGGGCTAGCTGGATGTAAGGGTTTAGGGAGTGACAAGAGGGGCCAGCTGGATGTAAGGTTTAAGGTAGTGACAGAGGGGCTAGCTGGATGGAAGGTTTTAGGGGGTGACAGAGGGGCTAGCTGGATGTAAGGGTTTAGGGAGTGACAAGAGGGGCCAGCTGGATGTAAGGGTTAAGGTAGTGAAAAGAGGGGCCAGCTGGATGTAAGGGTTTAGGTAGTGACAAGAGGGGCCAGCGGGATGTAAGGTTTTAGGTAGGGACAAGAGGTGCCAGCTGGATGTAAGGCTTAAGGTAGTGACAGAGTGGCTAGCTGGATGGAAGGTTTTAGGGGGTGACAGAGGGGCTAGCTGGATGTAAGGTTTTATGTGGTGACAGAGTGGCTAGCTGGGTGGAAGGGTTTAGGTAGTGACAAGAGGTGCCAGCTGAATGTAAGGTTTAAGGTAGTGACAGAGGGGCTAGCTGGATGTAAGGTTTTAGGTGGTGACAGAGGGGCTAGGTGGATGTAAGGGGTTAGATGGTGACAGAGGGGCTAGCTGGATGTAAGGTTTTAGGTGGTGACAGAGTGGCTAGCTGGATGTAAGGTGGTTACCTCCTTTTGTGATGTCTATGGTAACTCTAATGTCCACATTGAGGTAGCGTGGTTGGACGGCGAAGAATACAGTGCGCCCTCTCAGCAGGGGACCAGGATTTTGATTACAGTTCTTCTGTGTGTCCGGGTCCAGACAGTAGTCTCGGTCCACTGTCATCTGGCGGTAACAATGATGGCCGTTCGTGGGCGTCCCTAGAAAGTATTCCTTACAGGCCGAGCACTACAAAACAGAAAGTACACTTAAAACACTTTACACAAAAACAAGAGGCCCAATGGGCCTGCATCGCTCACCTGGTAATCTTAAAAGTGGACTAAAATACAGCAACAGGCAGAATATCAGTGTTTGATTCATAAGAACATATTAAAAGATTTAAACATATGACGCCTGTGACCTTGAATGTCAAACAAGGACATTAGGTTGAAAGTGGTCAAGAACATTCATTTGAGCAAACTTGGTAGCCCTTCATCCCAGCATCGTACAGGCCCAATATCAGTACCCTGGGCCTTTTGGTGATTGAGAAGAAGTTGTTTGAAGGGCCAGGTGAGCTAAAAACAGGAGTACTCTATCCATACCGATAATTACAAACAGGAAGTACTCCGTACATACAGATAACTACAAACAGGACGTAATCCATACATACCGATAACTACAAACAGGACGTAGTCCATACATACCAATAACTACAAACAGGAAGTACTCCATACATACCGATAACTACAAACAGAAGTACTTATATATACTTAACACCAAACAAAAGAAACTAATTCTTCCTCCCAGAACATGAACTATAAACAAGAGGCCCATAGGGCCTGTATCGCTCACCTGGATATCTCAGCTTTCATGGCAAAATATTCTCCAAATGAGATCCAAGGGAATGGGCCAGTCCCCAAGGCCAATCCTTGTAGCATATCTGTATTAGATTTTTCATGCACAGCAATTTTATGTATTTATATATAGTTTTGGGGTGGGGATCCCAACCGTTTCAAAGTTATGACCCAGGCGTTAAGTCTGCAAGGGTGGGGCAGACACTGGGGTCAATTATAATATCATGCCTGCATTCTTCTCTTTATGCCCAACAATTGTATATAAAGTTTTGGGGTGGGATCTTAACCATTTCGATGTTATGACCAAGGGGTTAAGTATCCAAGGGTAGGGCAGTCCCCAAGGCCATCCTGGAAGCATATGTGCATTCATCTCTTTATACTCAGCAATCGTATATATGGTTATAGGGTGGGGATCTCAACTGTTTTCAAGCTGTGACTAACAAACTAGGTCCCTAGGGGTTCGGTCAGACCCCAGGATCAATTCTAATATCATGCCTGCATCCCTCTCTTTATGCCCAGCATTTGTATATATAGTTGTTGGGTGGGGATCTCAACAGTTTTAAAGTTATGGCCCAGGGACTATGTCTCCAAGGAAGGGGCCAGACCCTAGGGCCATCCTGGAAGCAAGTGTGCATTCTTCTCTATATACTCAGCAAATGTATATATGCATGGTTATATCGTGGGGATCTCAACCATTTCTAAGTAATACACTTTTTTTGGCCCCGCCCCTTAGCACGGGGGGTCAGCCCAAAAATTTGTACATTTTGGAATCCCTGCCTTCCATGAATGCTTCTGACCACATATGATTAATATCCATGGCATAGTTCTACAGAAGTTGTTTATAGCAATATAGCCAAATTGCCCCCTTTTGGCCCTGCCCTCGGCCCCCTGGTGGTTCAGCCCCACCATTTGTACAATTTTGAATCTCAATCACCTAGGGATGTTTCCAGTCAATTATGGTTAATATCCATCTCTCAGTTCCAGAGAAGAATTCACTTAAAGCAAAAGAGTCAAATAACCCTTTTTTGCCCGCCCCTCAGCTCCCTGGGGGATGAGACACACAATTTGTACAATTTTGAATCCCTGCCTCCCATGAATGCTTTTGATTAAATAGGATTGATATCCAGTGAATAGTTCTACAGAAGAAGTCGTATGTAGCAATATAGCCAAATTGCCCCTTTTTTGCCCCGCCCCTCGGCCCCCTGGGGGATCAACCCAACCATTTGTACAATTATTAATCTCCACCACCTAGGGATGCTTCCAGTCAAATATGGTTAATATCCATCTGTTAGTTCAAGAAAAGAAGTCGCTTAAACCAATATACCCAAATTGCCCCCTTTTTGCCCCGCCCCTCTGCCCCCTGGGGGGTCAGCTCCACCATTTGAACAATTTTGAATCCCCTAGGGATGCTTCCAGTCAAATTTGGTTAAATTCCAATCAGTGGTTAAGAAGAAGTCGTTTAAAGAATTTGTTGACGGACGGACGACGGATGGATGACGGAAGGACAGACGGACGACAGACGATGGATACCACGGTATGGCATAAGCTCACCTTGGTCCTCAGATCCGGTGAGCTAATAAATAAAGGAACTTACCTGTTTCTGCCAACACTTCTCCACTGACTCCTTGTCAATCTTCTGGCTCTGACAGGGACTCTCTGTGTTATTGGCACAGCGACAGTTCAGGCCGGACTTGCTGTCACACATGTCACTGTGGCCATGACACTGGCACCTGTAATCAGGGTTATAGAAATCATCTACATTTCTGATGCTTTCAATAAGATTCATCATCTTGGAAATATCTACTTTCTAGTTTTGCACAAACAATGTATGTATCAACGTTTCAAGACCGACTGGTCCCTTTGTCAAGCTATGACTGAGTGAGCGATTTGTATTGTTTACCTGTACAACGATGTGACAAATTTACATATTTCATGTCAATCGACCCACGACATTTCACCAATCGTAAGAGAGTGTTAATATACTGTGTCAAATAGGGTACTGGTAGGGTTCTGATGTTGTTTATAATTATGTCGACTGGCGGGTCAGCCCCATCATTTGTACAATTTTGAATCCCCACCACCTAGGATTGCTTCCAGTAAAATTTAGTTGAATTCCAATCAGTGGTTAAGAAGAAGTCGTTTAAAGAAATTGTTGACGTACGTACAGACGGACGACGGACAGACGCAACGGTATGGCATAAGCTCACCTGGTCCGAAGGACCAGGTGAGCTAATAATAAGGTCATCTACACCTCTAACACTGTTAGTGTTAATAGACTTGTACATATCAACCGTTATCTAACTATACATACTTGATACACTTGTCAAAGGCTGTTTTGCCCTCTTTCTCCACCCTAAAGTAGCCATCCAGACACTTTTCACAGCGACGCCCCTCTGTATTATACATACAGTCCAGACACAACGCCTCGTCTTCTTTTGGGCCACGAGATCCAAAGTTATGGTATGTGCTCTGCAGTAAAAATGTAGACACATGTTGTAATATTTGTTTCTGCATGTAGATAAGTTTAATGTTAACCGAGAGGTTAATTATTACCTAAACAAGGGCACAATTCAAATGGGCCTGTATCACTCACTTGTTATTCATCTCACATCTGACCTTCACAGCGAGTCAAATCTACTTATACAAACTGGATCGAAAGCAAGCTTATAATACAGAACAAATATCACTGCTCCATAATTTATGGATTTTGATTTCAACATATTTTCCTCATATGAGTCAAAGCAAATTCATTGAAGAGGTAATATGTTATCGCAAGCTACAAGCCAAATATCACCGCTCTAGACCATTGGAGGTATACCCAACATATTTAACACATTTTATTCCTGAAGCACAGAACATGGTCAAGGTGATTTATAACAAAAACGTCATAGCTTTTGTCATAAAAAGTTACAGGCCAAATTTTATCACTATGGACTTACAGACCTTCTAAAAAAAGTTGTCTGAACTTTTTTAAAAACACTTGACTCCTGTTATCTAAATTGTGGGTTAGACATTTATTAGAACAAACTTGATATACAACTACCTAACTTACATCCAAGATTTCCAAGGATACAACTGTAAGGGACACAACTTTTGTACTTACATCCCAGAATTAAAAGAATACAACTGTTGTACTTACATCCCAGAAGTAAGGGGGATAGGAGTGATTGTTGATGCCTCCCCCAAAAGTACAGTTAGGGGTGTGGTTGTGACAGTGCTCCAGACAAGGTACACAGGGCTTCTTGTCCTCAGGGGACCCCACGTACAGCTGTTCACAGTGCTCACAGTGAGCCCCCTGAAATAGATCAAATTAAAGATGAATGTAATGCTATACCTCTGTAATACCTAACTATCAATTCCTGTACTAAAATCTTTCTGAAAAATTCTCAAAATCACCGAACATGAGTTGTGTACAATGGATACCCACCAATGTGTTGTTGACACAGGCCAGGCAGTTATCCTTCTCCAGAGCACTGCGACACTTGCTGTAGCCATTACACATACACTTGGTACTACAATCATTTCCCACCCAGCCAAAGTCACAGGTACAATGGTCTGGAGCATCACACACTCCATGTACACAGCCTTGATGGCACACCGGCTCGCAGATCCCCTTACTGTAAAACAAAATCACACGGAAGGTAGACACATTCACAGATCACCTTACTGTAAAACAAAATCACAGATAAAGTAGACACATTCACAGAGCCCCTTACTGTATAACAAAATCACACGTAAAGGAGACACATTCACAGATCCCCTACTGTAAAACAAAATCACACATAAGGTAGACACACTCACAGATCCCCTTACTGTAAAGCAAAATCACACGTAAGGTAGAAACATTCACAGATCCCCTTACTGTACAACAAAATCACACGTAAAGTAGACACATTCTCAGATCCCCTTACTGTAAAACAAAATCGCACGTAAGGTAGACACATTCACAGAACCCCTTACTGTAAAACAAAATAACACGTAAGGTAGACACACTCACAGATCCCCTTACTGTAACACAAAATCACACGTAAAGTAGACACATTCACAGTTCCCCTTACTGTAAAACAAAACCACACATAAAGTAGACACATTCACAGATTCCCTTACTGTAAAACAAAATCGCACGTAAGGTAGACACATTCACAGATCACCTTACTGTAAAACAAAATCACCCGTAAGGTAGACACATTCACAGATTCCCTTACTGTAAAACCAAAGCACAGATAAAGTAGACACATTCACAGATCGCCTTACTGTAAAACAAAATCACACGTAAGGTAGACACATTCACAGATTCCCTTACTGTAAAACAAAATCACAGATAAAGTAGACACATTCACAGATCCCCTTACTGTAAAACAAAATCACGTGTAAAGTAGACACATTCACAGATCCCCTTACTGTAAAACAAAATCACACGTAAAGTAGACACATTCACAGATCCCATTACTGTAAAACAAAATCACACGTAAAGTAGACACATTCACAGATTCTCTTATAAGAGCACATTGATATATAAATTGAGGACACATCTCTCATGGTGAGTGTGTATACGTACCGTTCTTTCCAGAGGTAGCCCTTCTTACACTGGCACACGAAGCCCTTGGATTTGTCTATACAGCGCTGCCGCTCCTTGTCACAGTTATGATGGTTATTTAAACACTCATTCTCACTGAGGCACTTGGTGAAAACCCACTGTGCGCCATTGGATAGGCGCAGGAAGGGTTTGTCCTCCTCTATAACAAATACATAATACCAGCTTAGTAACAATAGGTGCATGTCAGGTAAGGGCCCAGGATGAATGAAAAGTTTGCTGAAGGGGTATTTATAAGGAAAACAAAACACATGTTGTGGCCCTTGCTGTAAAGCTAACATAACTGTCAGACACATTACCAGGAACATTCCTAAAACACTGGAAAATAGTCAGATTGCAAGACTGCAGTGATATATATAAAGTTTACAGTACTATATTTTGTTTACCAGAGGGTGAAAATTACAGAAAATATCACGGTACTACAGTAACGAAAGCCCTACCTGGCAGCTCTCCCTCCCCAGGTTCCACCACTTGCCCTTCACATCGACCCCCAATGGGGCTCTTCACACCTCCCTTCATGCAGACTCCCTTCCCGTTGAGTCCTAGAAAAGCACACCAGCCACAGCCTGGGGCTTGGAGGCAGTCGGAGCACCACTGGTACTCCATACATGGGCGTGGACACTTGGTGCGAGTTGCCTGGATAATGAGACCGCACTCTCCGCCTGCACAGTGTAGGTGATGGTAGGCAGGTGGCATACACTGTAATAACCAAAGGACATTTATTGTTTAACTATTTTTCTATTTCATGAAGTCAAATGGAACATGATTATGCCTTAGACTTTGATAGTGTCATTCAGGTATGATGTCAGTTACAGAGGTTTTGTGACCAAAACAATTGCAATATAGAGATACAGTGACTATAATACCACATTATTACAGACCAAGTAGCAGGATGTGATCAGTGGGATGTGATTGGTGGATTATGTTAATGCAGAGGAATAGCAGGATGTTACTGGCCAATTACATTGCTGCAGATAACAGTGGGATGTTACTGGCTGATATTATTACGCAGATAATGTAGAGGAACAGCAGGATGTTATAACATTACACAGATAAGGTACATAAACAGTGGAATGTAAAGGTGAATACACACCTCTTGTAACATTTCACTCCAGATACACTCCTTAGAGCCGCCCTCACTACCAATAGACTTGAGACAGGAGGTACACGTTGTGTAGGTGTAACACCGGGCGGGGCACACATCCTGGGACTGTGAGTTAGAGTATTGTAGAGGCCCCTCTGTCACTGTCCGGGACAGGAAACACCCCCACTCAAACGGCTGCTTACCCGCTAAGATCAGTGTCATCTCAGCTAGAAAACAATTGTATATCAGTAGGTTTCTACATTGTTACCTTAGCAGACAACACATACACAGGGGGCTACTATACATTAGTCATCTCTTTATTTTCCTGCAGTGGAGAACACAAGTGAATAATGTCCATTGTCATTTCAATTGGGGGGAAAATAGAACAACCCCACTTCCTTTGTCAGAGGAACACAAGAAATCGCAGTGGTTCACATAAGAAATCTGATGAAGCCTAGAGGCAACTAGAGGAAATATCGAGGTAAACTGAGGAAACTTGAAGTTTACTGAGGAAATATAATGGTTAACTGAGGAACCTTATGGTTAACTGAGGAAACTTAATGGTTAACTGAGGAAACTTAATGGTTAACTGAGGAAACTTAATGGTTAACTGAGGAACTCTAATGGTTAACTGAGGAACTCTAATGGTTAACTGATGAAACTTAATGGTTAACTGAGGAACTCTAATGGTTAACTGAGGAAACTTAATGGTTAACTGAGGAACTCTAATGGTTAACAGAGGAAACTTAATGGTTAACTGAGGAACTCTAATGGTTAACTGAGGAAACTTATGGTTAACTGAGGAACTCTAATGGTTAACTGAGGAACTCTAATGGTTAACTGAAGAACTCTAATGGTTAACTGAGGAACTCTAGGTTAACTGAGGAACTCTAATGGTTAACTGAGGAACTCTAATGTTTACTGATCATGAGGAAACTTAGAGGTAAACTGAGGAAAGCTAGAGATTAACAGAATTTAAGAGGATAGAAACTGACTTACCTTGTCGCTTGATGTTATTGGACCAGACACAGCTGTGGGCGTGGCATTTGTCACAGTCAGAGGCAGTACAAGAGAACTCTTCACACTGTGCAGCCTCCAGCTTCACTTGGTTCAGAGTGTTGGTATCACATTCGTTCTCTAGTTTACACTCACCCTCAAAAGGGATACACTTACCCTGGGGGCAGTTTGTACACCATTTACAGGCCTACAATACAAGAAGATTCTTTATAGACATCAGAGTGGTGCAACAGCCTTTGTTTATACAAGGATAAATTCCCTTCCAGGATGATCCAGACCAAATAAGTCTATAATCCCTCAACCCATATCAAATACCATAAAATAGAAGCATTTACCTTTACATCCCTACAATGATCAACTGAGTTAAATAAAGGAAGATATTTTAAATAAATACTGTCATGTAATCAACTGAGTTAAATAAAGGAAGATAATTTGAATGAATACTGTCATGTAATCGACTACTTTGAATGTAAGTAGGCTGCTGTACACTTGATTATACATGTATACAGAAAATGAAGTGTGCAAATACAGTAAAGCAAATTATCAGGAACCTGAGATTACCTTGGAGTTCTGTTTAAAGTGAGGAAAGACAGCCAGGCATTGGGAGCAGGCTTTGTACTGGTAACAGGAACGCTCTAGGTGCCACTGTAGACTGCATTGTTCACCAGTAATCACCGTCACATGGGGTGCCTCACAGCTATAACAAAAAAAAATGTTACCCTTAATCACCGTCACATGGGGTGCCTCACAGCTATAACAAAACAAATTGTTACCCTTAATCACTGTCACATGGGGTGCCTCACAGCTATAACAAAAATAATTGTTACCCTTAATCACTGTCACATGGGGCGCCTCACAGCTATAACAAACAAGCAAATTCGTGGAATTCATGTCCCTCGCTTGCAGGACATAATTATTGTAGGTTAACATTATTGTATTTGGGTTTAAACATGTGAGTATCGTGCTGTTGAGACATAATGTATAGCTTGAAACTTGAAGAAGAAAAAAAACCTATACCTCATTGATTATCCGTTAATATGCACAAATCACATTGGTTTTCAAACTTAGCATGAGTTGAATGTGCATAAGGAAATTGGTTGAAACATCTTAACAATATCTACAGCAACAAGTAGTAATTGTAATGGGGGACCATAACAGATGTCCCCCAAATTGCCCCCATAGTCGCAAAGATGCATCAGAAAAGGATCGCATTGCTAAAGTAGTGTACAGCTACAATGTACATACTAAATTTGAGTGAAATTGAGCAATTTCTAAATTGCAACCAATCAGAATCATCTGTGTAGTTGCTATGGCACCGGAACGTATGCGATTGAATTTGCAGTCCCCTAATACCCCTATATACCAATTTTCATCAAAATCAAACAGTATCTAAATTTCCACCAATCAGAAGCCTTTGTGTGGTTGCTATGGCAACGAAACCTATGCTGTTGAATTAGCAGTCCCCTTATACCCCAGATACCAATTTTCATCAAAATCAAACAATATCTTAATTTCCACCAATCAGAAGCTTTTGTGTGGTTGCTATGTTAACGAAACTAATGCGGTTTATTCGCAGTCCCCTTATATCCATATATACCAATTTTCATCAAAACCGAACCAAGTTTGAAGAAAATTGGTTAACATTTGTTATAGTTATTGCACAGAAACAAAACCAAGCAGATAATTACATTTTTCATTATTCAAGGGGCCATAACTCCACCAAATGGGGTCCACTGAAGGTGGTCATCGAACTTGGCCAAGCCCTTAAGAGATTTAACCCTGTGACCAAGTTTGAAGAAAATCGTTCAACATTTGTTGTAGTTATTGCAAGGAAACAAAGCGTGACAGACAGACGGACGGACAAACATATACTAGATTGTTAACCCATAATCAACATCACATGGTGTGCCTCACAGCTATAACAACCAAACACTACACTGTTCACCCGTAATCACTGTCACATGGGGTGCCTCACAGCTATAACAACCAAACACTACACTGTTCACCCGTAATCACTGTCACATGGGGCGCCTCACAGCTATAACAAATATTTACTACACTGTTCACCTGTAATCACCGTAACATGAGGCACCTCACAGCTATAACAAACAACATTGTTCCCCCAATCACTGTAACATGGGGTGCCTCACAGCTATAACAAACATTTACTACACTGTTCACCTGTAATCAACGTAACATGAGGCACCTCACAGCTATAACAAACAACATTGTTCCCCCATCACTGTCACATGGGGCGCCTCACAGCTATAACAAACAAAATTGTTCCCCCAAATCACTGTCACATAGGGCGCCTCACAGCTATAACAAACAAAATTGTTACCCCAATCACTGTCACATGGGGCACCTCACAGCTATAACAAACAAAATTGTTCCCCCAAATTACTGTCACATGGGGTGCCTCACAGCTATAACAAACAAAATTGTTACCCCAATCACTGTCAAATAGGGCGCCTCACAGCTATAACAAACAAAATTGTTCCCCCAAATCACTGTCACATGGGGTGCCTCACAGCTATAACAAACAACATTGTTCCCCCATCACTGTCACATAGGGCGCCTCACAGCTATAACAAACAAAATTGTTACCCAAATCACTGTCACATAGGGTGCCTCACAGCTATAACAAACAAAATTGTTACCCCTAATCACTGTCACATGGGGTGTCTCACAGCTATAACAAACATACACTACACTGTTCACCTGTAATCACTGTCACATGGGGCGTCTCACAGCTATAACAAACATATACTAAATTGTTCAACCGTAACCAACATCACATGGGGCGCCTCACAGCTATAACAAACAAACACTACACTGTTCATCCGCAATCACTATTACATGGGGCGTCTCACAGCTATAAAAGATATTAAAGATATAATCACACATCACCTGTGCTACCTTATAGCTATAATCTATATGATAACTGAACAAAGGACATGTCCCATATCATGACATGCTTGATACCTATCCGTTACCAGCTACCTCACTGTTATACATACAAGGCTGGCTCTGGGCGACTGTTGGAGTAGCAGTAGGTCCTGTTTGGGGCCCCAGGTGTCGACATGATGCAGGCCGAGCACCCTGAGGAGTTAACACAGCGATTTAGGTCTCCAATCAGGCTACACACATCACTGGGCAGGTCAAGCTTGATTATCTCACTGTGAACAAAGTGGTCAAGGCCTCCCATCACATATATACTGCTATTGATCACTGCAGAGCTGGGAGCCACCACAGAGTGTAGGGGTCTACTGAAGGCCAAATCTGTAAGATAACATGTACCAACATTAGTGTATACTACATACCTGAAATCATACTTCTGTCAGTACTTACACAGGTAAATGTATTACCTCCGAAGTTATAGTTACACAGGTAAACTATTACTCACCTCCTAAATCACTCTTATGCCAGTAGTTACACAGGTAAGTCTTTAACTCACCCCCTAAATCACTCTTATGCCAGTAGTTACACAGGTAAATATATAACTCACCCCCTAAATCAAACTTATGCCAGTAGTTACACAGGGAAGTCTATTACTCACCCCCTAAATCACTCTTATGCCAGTAGTTACACAGGTAAACTATTACTCACCTCCTAAATCACTCTTATGCCAGAAGTTACACAGGTAAACTATTACTCACCCCCTAAATCAAACTTATGCCAGTAGTTACACAGGTAAATCTATAACTCACCCCCTTAATCAAACTTATGCCAGTAGTTACACATGTAAGTTTATTCCTAACCCCCTATTAAACTTATGCCAGTAGTTACACAGGTAAATATATTACTCACCCCCTAAATTAAACTTATGCCAGTAGTTACACAGGTAAGTCTATTACTCACCCCCTAAATCACTCTTATGCCGGTAGTTACACAGGTAAATCTATAACTCGACCCCTTAATCAAACTTATGCCAGTAGTTACACAGGTAAGTCTATACCTAACCCCCTAATCAAACTTATGCCAGTAGTTACACTGGTAAGTCTATTACTCATCCCCTAAATCAAACTTATGCCAGTAGTTACACAGGTAAATATATAACTCACCCCCTAAATCACTCTTATGCCAGTAGTTACACAGGTAAATCTATAACTCTCCCCCTTAATCAAACTTATGCCAGTAGTTACACAGGTAAGTCTATTCCTAACCCCCTAATTAAACTTATGCCAGTAGTTACACAGGTAAATATATTACTCACCCCCTAAATAAAACTTATGCCAGTAGTTACACAGGTAAACTATTACTAACCCCTTAAATCACTCTTATGCCAGTAGTTACACAGGTAAACTATTACTCACCTCCTAAATCATTCTTATGCCAGAAGTTACACAGGTAAGTTTATTACTCACCCCCTAAATCAAACTTATGCCAGTAGTTACACAGGTAAATATATAACTCAACCCCTAAATCAAACTTATGCCAGTAGTTACACAGGTAAGTCTATTCCTAACCCCCTTATCAAACTTATGCCAGTAGTTACACAGGTAAGTCTATAACTCACCCCCGAAATCAAACTTATGCCAGTAGTTACACAGGTACGTCTATTACTCAACCCCTTAATCAAACTTATGCCAGTAGTTACACAGGTAAATATATTACTCACCCCCTAAATCAAACTTATGCCAGTAGTTACACAGGTAAGTCTATTACTCACCCCCTAAATCACTCTTATGCCAGTAGTTACACAGGTAAGTCTATAACTCACCCCCGAAATCAAACTTATGCCAGTAGTTACACAGGTAAGTCTATTACTCAACCCCTTAATCAAACTTATGCCAGTAGTTACACAGAAAAGTCTATTCCTAACCCCCTAATTAAACTTATGCCAGTAGTTACACAGGTAAATATATTACTCACCCCCTAAATCAAACTTATGCGAGTAGTTACACAGGTAAGTCTATTACTCACCCCCTTAATCAAACTTATGCCAGTAGTTACACAGAAAAGTCTATTCCTAACCCCCTAATTAAACTTATGCCAGTAGTTACACAGGTAAACTATTAATCACCCCTTAAATCACTCTTATGCCAGTAGTTAGACAGGTAAACTATTACTCACCTCCTAAATCACTCTTATGCCAGTAGTTACACAGGGAAGTCTATTACTCACCCCCTAAATCAAACTTATGCCAGTAGTTACACAGGTAAACTATTACTCACCCCTTAAATCACTCTTATGCCAGTAGTTATACAGGTAAACTATTACTCACCTCCTAAATCACTCTTATGCCAGTAGTTACACAGGTAAGTCTATTACTCACCCCCTAAATCAAACTTATGCCAGTAGTTACACAGGTAAATACATAACTCACCCCCTAAATCAAACTTATGCCAGAAGTTACACAGGTAAGTCTATTACTCACCCCCATAAATCAAACTTATGCCAGTAGTTACACAGGTAAGTCTATTACTCACCCCCTAAATCACTCTTATGCCAGTAGTTACACAGGGAAGTCTATTACTCACCCCCATAAATCAAACTTATGCCAGTAGTTACACAGGCAAGTCTATTACTCACCCCCTAAATTAAACTTATGCCAGTAGTTACACAGGTAAGTCTATTACTCACCCCCTAAATCAAAATTATGCCAGTAGTTACACAGGTAAGTCTATTCCTAACCCCCTAAATCAAACGTATGCCAGTAGTTACACAGGTAAGTCTATTACCCACCCCCTAAATCAAAATTATGCCAGTAGTTACACAGGTAAGTCTATTCCTAACCCCCTAATTAAACTTATGCCAGTAGTTACACAGGTAAGTCTATTACTCACCCCCAAAAGTAAACTTATGCCAGTAGTTACACAGGTAAATATATTACTCACCCCCTAAATCAAACTAATGCCAGTAGTTACACAGGTAAATCTATTACTCACCCCCTAAATTAAACTTATGCCAGTAGTTACACAGGTCAATATATTACTCACCCCCTAAATCAAACTTATACCAGTAGTTACACAGGTAAATATATTACTCACCCCCTAAATCAAACTTATGCCAGTAGTTACACAGGTAGCGGTAGATGAGGATACTGTTAGAGAAGTTGGAGCTGTCTGTACGTCCACCCATCACCACCATGTAATCTCCCATATCAACAGCTGTATGAAGGAATCGAGCATCTTTCTGCAATAGAAATATTAATGTGATCTTATACTTCCATATAATGTAAACATTTGTGTAATATCATCCTTCAACATCTATGTAATTGCATATTTCTTAAACATCTATAATGAACATAGATTCCTAAGTTTGATGGACATGAGGAGAGCCTTATTGGACTCTAAAGGTCACAAGGAAAGACTAAGCTGACAACCTCCAAAGCCTGAAGGTCACAAGGAAAGACTAAGCTGACAACCTCTAAAGCCTGAAGGTCACAAGGAAAAACTAAGCTGACAACCTCCACAGCCTGAAGGTCACAAGGAAAGACTAAGGTGACAACCTCCACAGCCTGAAGGTCACAAGGAAAAACTAAGCTGACAACCTCCACAGCCTGAAGGTCACAAGGAAAGACTAAGCTGACAACCTCCACAGCCTGAAGGTCACAAGAAAAGACTAAGGTGACAACCTCCACAGCCTGAAGAAAAACAAGGAAAATCTTACCTGACTACCCTCCTCAGCCTAAAGGACACAATGAAAGACTTACCTGACAACCCTCCACAGCCAGAAGAATGCTAGGAAGTCTTACCTGACTACGCTCTTCAGCCTGAAGGATGCTAGGAAGTCCTACATGACTACCCTCCACAGCCAGAAGGATGCTAGGAAGTCTTACCTGACTACCCTCTTCTGCCTGAAGGACACTAGGAAGTCTTACCTGACAACCCTCCACAGCCAGAAGGATGCTAGGAAGTCTTACCTGACTACCCTTTTCAGCCTGAAGGATGCTAGGAAGTCTTATCCGACTACCCCCCTCAGCCTGAAGGACGCTAGGAAAGACTTACCTGACTACCTTCCTTAGCCTGAAGCAGGGTTGCATTCAGGATTTATGACATTTGTGTACATGCCCCCCTCCTTTCTGACAATTGGGGGGCCACTCTGTGGCTGCCAAAGGCAGCCACCTGAGGAGCGAAGCGACGAGGGAGGGAGGGGG